ATGTAGCTGTAGCACCTCCTGACTCGCCCCTCAAGCAATATAATAGCACTTCAGGGCAAGTGACGTCAGTTTCTCATGTACACATGTGCCGCTTAACCCATATATGACGGCAAGATTACATTTAACGACTCACGGGCTTCATGGGAAACCGCTGGCTTTCGGAAACCGCTCGCCTTCTGTTCACGACTCGTAGAACTACGTCTGCAGAGACAGACTTCACCACTGACTGCACACGTGGCACGGGCACGGCCCAAACCCCAATCAAAACAAAAGCCTAAAGCGCGTCGAATATACAGCATAAATTATACTTCGTTCTTTTTTGCATTGCACTTCAATGTTAAGCATCTTCAATTCCAGCTCGAGGCCCGGACGGTGCTGCCACCGAGGGTCGCACCTGACGAGCAAATTGCACTTTGACGGAAACACCTGCATGCTGAGACCTGCACTGCCTCTCTCTGCTTTCCTGCAAGGGGTGTCTGGCCACCAGGGAAGGCCTTGAAGCCCGTCGCAAACATGCACGCCCCAGAGGCTCTTCCTCGCTCAACCCTGCACCCCACTGTGGTCGACCTCTTCACCTTTCAGCCGCTGCCATCTCTGCTGAGATCCAATAGAATGACCCCACGATGTCAAGGAACCACGTCATGCTAAGCCTACTTGGCCGGCATAGCAGCAAACTTCGGCTGCCAGGAACATCCGACGATTTTAACGGAGCTGCTGAGAAACTACCTACACTGGAAATAGCACTGCTGCAGTATCTTCGGTTTGCCGCTGTCGACCAGGTATTTGTTTCCGCCTTGCAAGGCGTCTGCTTGTCAACTCTGTCTGCTTTCTTCACTCATGCACTCCTCATGCCGGCAGTACACCTGCAAGACCAAGACCCATTCTCAAACACAAGAAACAGCAAAACAACATCGACTTCTGCAGCCCTCAACCCGGAGGCATGCCTCGGCCCTCCGAAGCGACTGCAGGATGCCACAGCTCTCACAAAGCGGAATCACCTCGTCAGCTGAGCGAACATTGCTTGTCGCCTGCCTTCTTGGTGGAAGCTTAGAGCTAGCCATGACGGGAAATCCAACAGCTCTGACGGCAGCATATGTGATGAGCTCGCGTCAATCCACGCACATGCCTCCTGCAACGGCCCCACTACGGGGCTTGCGGCTTGGACATATTAGGGTAGTTTGGGAGGCTACATATGCAAAATCATCTGCCTGTGTGAGGTCCCACAACTTGAGGCGGGTTGCTGCGATGGGTAGCATCTCTCCGTCCCAGCCAGCCACTGCTACACAAAGGTCGGCCTGACGTGTTGTCTGATGCAATGTTCTTACCGCATGTACACGGTCGTAAGACGCTTACTAGAGAAGCCCAGAGCCTTGCAGAGCTTTGGGTCCACATGGTTGGGAGAACGGACTGGGATTGGATTGCTTCTCTCCCAAGTCATCTACTTGTCACGCACACTCGCATAAACACAAATGCATGCATGTATGCATGTAGGCATGTGCGGACATATTTATGCACGCATGTATGCAGGTATGTGTATACATGTATGTTTGCATATATAGGTATAGAACCTTTTACCTTTGATGATCAAGAGAATCCACCAGCTACTAGCCTTTGAACGGAATATCGTTCTACGCCTTTCATTTTGCAGTCTGCAGCCCCTTCTTTTCTATGGGTTTTGCACCGGCCACTGCAGCCCTCTGCAGCTCCTGCAGTCCTAAGAAAGCTTTGGAAGGGGAGTGTTTGCAGAAGCAGCTTAACTCACACTCTCCACTCGCTCTTGAAATCACTGGGCTGCGGATGCCCTGCTAGTCCCTGAACTCCCAACTCCTGCTACCCGGTACTACCCAAACCCGCCGAGACAGAGAGAGAGAGAGAGAGAAAGTGAGGGAGAGAGAGAGAGAGAGAGTGCAGGGCCTTTCATATCAGGAGGAAGGAATTGTATGTCTGTACATCATGTCATACCCATGCGCATGTAATTTGCAATGTGTGTATGTACGTATGTATGCGTATATATATATATATATGTATATATATATATAAGAGGCTATGTGTATATATACATATATACATAGCGAGAGAGAATGCATGTTCCGTACATGCACACATCCATACATACATGCCATACCACACCACCACACGAGACCAAACAACACCAGACCAGACCCATACATGCATACCCACATCTCCTATATATGTATATAGGTAGTTAGCTAGATAGCTAGATAGAGAGAGAGAGAGAGATAAAGAGAGAGAGAGAGAGGTAGAGAGATAGGGAGATAGAGAGATAGAGACATAGGGATATATAGAGGGATAGAGAGATAGGGAGATAGGGAGATAGATAGATAGATGCCCTTCACACACATACACAACTGATCCTACCCATAAGATTTGTGGCTAGTGGTTGGCTAATCAACCGACATTTAGGGGCCGAAGCTCTTCTTCAAGTCCTGGCTTGCCGCAGCTACACCTTCTGCACTTCTTAAGTCTTACATGTGCACAACATCGAAGCCTTGGATTCTAAAGGGCTCTCTGCAAACCCCCAAGCTGCTGAAAGCTGCAAGGTGTGCTGAGCTACTGGTCGCGAAACCACTTTCCGTTGCACGCTGGCGTGCCTCGTTGACCGAGCCTCACTGCAGTTTCTGACAGATGTTGGTCTGCGACGGAATTCCGCTGCTTAGCGAGCCTACCTACCGATAAAGCATGCAGTCCGGCGCTACAATTTCAATTAGATGGAGAAGGTAGCCGCGTCCCTGAGCTCAAGTAGCGACTCGAAAACCAATACATCATGCTTGCCGATAGATGTGCTAAGCAGGTCATTACCAAGTGTATTGGATGAAGCCGTGATGCGCACCGGATCGAGGGTCCCGAACACAGAGCCAGCTAATTATCAGCTTACAGGGCCCCTAATAATTACACCATATGTAAGCCCAAAGACTTAACCACCGTTTCATATCCCTGCGAAGCCCGACACCTGCAGCTGCCCATGTCTGCCACAGTGCAGCCGACCTGCCTAAAAGACTGAATGACCTGTCTCTCGCCCACTGTCGGTGTAGCTCATAAAAACAAGCCAGTTTAACAAAGCACAAAGTTTACCACAGCTCTTGTCCTTTGCACAGAAGCAGCGGTTGCATCTTTAAAGCGAGATCCGGAGCCCCTGCCAGGGGCCGTGCCGTCTGGAAGGAGATTCCCCAAGCTGACACACGGCACCAGGCCTGACGGCAAGCTTGCTGCAAACTGTCAGTCAGCCCTTGAATTAATCCAATCTACAAGCATGGAGGCACTTTCTCCGGAGGATGCAAGAAACTAGATCTCTTTAACACTGTGCATGCTCCCATATGTCATGCCCCACCTGCGGCGACTATTCGCCAGTCTGCACCACCTTGGCCGTGAGATGCTCGGAAGCATTGAAATGCTTGGCCTCCCTTGGCCTCCCGCATTCATCTACGAGTTGTTGCTTCGAATTCTTCGTATGAGGCGCCGTTGCGTTGTCAAACAGGTGCTGCTTCCGTTCAATGTGCATACACGTGTACATCTACACAAAGGCAAACACGAATACACATGGACAAAGAGAGACAGACAGAGAGATTGTGTGTGCGTGTAGACTTACACACATATACATGTAGAGAGAGAGGTCCATGCTTCACATGCGCAAGCACCATCCATGAACCCATCCATTCATCCACCCATGCATGCATGTCTGCTTACATACATACGTACGTACATGCATACATACTGCTACCTTATCCATGCATGCATGCAGATATGCAATGATATGCATACCTACTTAATTTGTCTTAGCTTACATTCATGCATGCATGGGCACATAAATTGTGAAAGACAGATAGATAGATACATAGATAGACAGATAGATAGATCGACATATAGATCGATAGACAGATAGATCGGTAGATAGATAGATAGATAGAAAGAAAGATAGATAGATAGATAGATAGATGGGTCGATTGGTCGATATAATATACAGCCGGAAACAAATCAGCATAATTACCGACTGCATCGCCACTGTCAAGCATGCGGGCTCGATGCCTGTGCAGGCGTTGCACCTACTGCCTTGCATCTCTTGACTCGGCCTGCGGAAATCCACGCGATTTCCCGCCTTGCAGCTTCCTACCAGGCCCAATGCTCTACTACCCGTTGTGCTGTGTCGAATTCTGGCACTCATGCTTCACCTGAAGTTCGGGCCTTTCTTGCGACGGAAGTTCCAAATCGTCAATACCTCCAGCAAGTCGCATTTTGTCTTCGTCTTCGCAGGTGGGTTTGCATCCAGGCACTGAAACAGACGGTGTGCCTTTGGCATCCGGCTTCGTGCTAGCAAGTAGCCATTCTGGCCCTGCAGACGGCTTCATGCATTAACCCGTGGACCTCCACAACAGCCCGACATGAAGCTACACCTCTTCACACACCCTCCCCGAATCTAGAAGGACCCGCTGGTTGCCCCCCGGTCTGTGCAAAGAGGGCAGCTTCAGGGAGTCCCGTGTGCTAGGTTGACGATGGGAGACCAGGTATCACGTGATGACAAACAGCCCCAGTACTCGCTAAGAAGCCCGGGTAATTACACAGTAGCTCACCTGCACAACATACCGCCAAACCTGTCCCGAATTTAGGGGCTATGTGGTGTTGGCCAGTGGTTGGCTCGGACTCCCACCGAACCTGAATGCCAAAAACCAGTTGGCATCTACACCCAAGCCCTAAGCATGGCTTCGGGTCACTTGCTAGCAAAGGTGCTGCTTACACGTGCACAGCCATGGCCTAGTCTGGCTGCATGTTCTCGGGTCTCCGTTCTCAATGTGAGCGTGCGATGCCAGGAATAGTCTGGAAGCTGTTGCAAGCGAGCGACCCCAAACCCGCATCTACCAAAGCTCTTGGCTGAATTCACTGTATATCGAAGCAGAAGCCCTGTCGCTGGTCTCACCTTAGAGCAGGGCCAACGCTTCCACCGTCTACAAAGAGTCTGCAACCATCGGCCGTTCCGGACATCTGGCCTCCGCTTGGGTGAGGGCGGTATGTGCACCGAGATCTCGCTGTCTGTTGCACTTTCAACCTGCCGAAGTCGACATGGGGTACACCCACGGCTTCGATGTTAACATGTGAGGGCTCTGCAGGGTGTCCGGTGTTTGTGCTCGCTTTGCGATCACCTTCCCACTGGGCTGCATTTTGCTTCGGGCACATGTTTGGCGAAGCTCCGGTTTCCTGCATGCAGGGTGGCAAACAAGAGTGCAGACAGTAACCTTCAACAACAGATTGCATGGAGGCAAGACTCAGCCGCAAGCCCTTACCCCTTACACTTAGCCACCTAGCCCTATCCCCTTTCCACAATGCCTCTTCGAGACCTCGTGCCTGCTGAACTTTGACTTTATTGCCATGGCCGCCTATCTCCAGTCAGTAGCTGGACTTTTTGGAATCGAAAACCTTGCATCACACAGCAGTCCTTGGCAAAGGATGGGCCGTTTCTGTGGATTCCCACCAGGTACGGGGGGAAGCAGGTCTCCCAACGCGCCAGTACTTGGGGGAACGCGTGTTTGGCCTTGGTCCTGGATCCAGCAGTCTGGCCGCGCTCCCGAAGCCAACACTTGCGCGAAAGCTTTTAGGGCTTGGTCCTGAATGCGTCAGTACTTGGCGCAAAGCATTTTGGCTCTCCTGGTGGGGTCGCCTCCTTGTGGTCTCTTCGTAGTCCCCTGGTGCATGGTCTCCTGGCTGTCTCAGTCGTTGTTGTGGTCGCCTGCGTGGTCCTCGTGGTCGTGGTAATCATGGTCGTCGGAATTTGCTTATAGGCTCTTTCGGTGGGGACTGACTACTTTCGTTTCTTTGGCCCGACTACCCTCTGCTTGTAACTGGGGGAAGAATGATGTCCCCATGTATTGTAGTATACTGATACTGTGAATCACGGCTTGTGTCAATAACCGGGTGCGAGACTAAATCTGCTCTGCGTCCTGCAAATAATAAGATGTAGCGAGCCATGTCGGAGCACCCGCGGAACGGCTACCTCAATCCATTCTCTTTCCCCTTTTTGCATCCAGGCCTATTGCGACTGCCGGCTACCCGAAGACAAGAACCCTTTTGTGCTACGACACTGCGTCGAGAAATACTCAAGAGAGACCCTGTATAGTTTACACACTACGAAACCCTCATTCACACACAGCCCTGGTCCCTCCACCCTGCATCCCGCAGCCTTCTACGGCCTCACCTTAGGACTTAGGCCCTTAGGCCCTTATACATCACCCGTTATTACCGTTCTTGCTACCGCATGGATCTGGCCTGGACATCCATGTCGGGCCGTGGCACGGTCTCCAGGATCGCAGTCGACGCCCGGCTGACGTCCCATCGGTTGGCCTGCCAAACCAGTCAGCTGAGAAGGATGGGAGCCAGCAGTGACTGGTGCAACGGACTTCAGTTTAGTTTATGCACTGCCCGCTTGCACTTCCAGGAGGTTCTAGGGTTTTCCACCCTGGTTCGATACATACCCGCTGACGTTTAGACCATTCTATCTCCAGGGGGGGACCACATCACGAACTTAAGGGAAGAGAGAGAGAGAGAGAGAGAGAGAGAGAGAGTTCAATCAACCGACCTCGGGGGTACAAGTACCATCCGATTTCTGGATCACACCCGAGATACCAAAGCCAGTCCGACATCATCCGACATCAGTGAGCCTCCAAAGCAACCTTGGAGGCCTCGAAGGAAAAGCCCATAGCCAACATCCTCGGGAGCGTGCAAATACAAAGGATTGGGTTTCAGCACTCACAACTGGGACAAGCCTGGTGGTGGGGGTAGCCAGCTGAGGGAAAAGCTGCACGAGGCGCGGGATGGGCTGGAAGCGCCAATCGTAGTTCATCAATTCTGGCTGTCTCTGTGGTTTTTGTGCACTCCAGATGAGTCTTAGACTGGGGAGGATGAAGATCAAAATCTCAACCACCTGCCATGAAAAGTCTTCCAGTCTAGCCCAAGCCGTTTCCAACGACTGAACTGCGGCTCAAGCGCTGCTCCATCGCTTGGTCAGGGCTTGCCTTAGCTGAGCAAAGCAATACCCCAATAAGCCCGAACATGATGTGAGCGCGAGCTTCAGGAGGAGTTTCCGCAGTGGACTTAGGCTTTCGATGGCCATGCTGACCTGCCGAGCTGACTGTATTGCAGAAACATGTTTGTTTCAAGGTCTGCTTGAGACATGAATCCGGACTCTAAGGAAAACTGCAACCTTGCCTTCGTGAGCAGTGCAACCGAGGCGCCGTCAGCATGCTGTTACCTGAGCACGGCTGACCCCTCTTCCGAACAAGTGGCGGAATCCGCTTGACAGTCGAACTCGGGCGGGCCTGCTTCACAAGGGGGCTGCTACAGGGAATGTGCGGCTGAAGCAACACATACAGTATTTCTACAACTGCCAGATGCAAACGAGGAACCAACACGAACACAATCGGATAAAGCAAACTCAACTTCCAGCAGCACACGACGCAAGCCAAACATGCGGCTCAAAGCCACAAGTGCACTCGGAGGGATTGAATCAAGACCACCTGCACCCCCCGATTCGTGGCTCCGGCCGAGCAACCGAAGGATGTCGGCGAAGGCATCGCCCACGAGGCCGGCGCTGTCGGCATAGCAGACGTGTCTGCCGCGCCTTTCAGGACAAGTCGCGTGGTTCTAACATCAAACGAAGCCGAAGGCTTGTGGAAATTGCTAGAGCGTTAGTAACACTGCCGCCGGGCCCCCGAAATCCGAAAGCCTGTGACCCACTTCTCCCCGGCGCCTCCCCACTCTGTGAGTGCAGCCCGCTCGGGCTCCGACTTCTTGCAGCCGCAGACCTGCCAGTTAGTTGACGGGTATCGACTCGCATCCACTCTCACGTCTTGGTCAAATCACGCGTGCAGGTCTAGATCAGCCAGGAAACACTGTCAACGTCTACGCGTGCCTTCTACATTCGAGTTCCTAAGACTGGACGACACCACCGGCATTGAACCATGATCGTGCACGTGATCGTTCTGCACTGCAAACACGGTCTTACCCTTGCTGTTGGCCTTCTTGCAGATTGCCAGGCAGCACCTGGGTCCATACTCCCGCTCATTACTTTCGTTCTCCCTCCCTCTCTCTCCTGCCAAGCCAGTGCGCACACGGGTAAACATGCAGACTCCCGGCATGGAGTACACATGATCTTTCTAGTAAGTCTAATCCAGGCTGGTCAAGTGGTCAAGTCTAATGAGTCTCGCAGAACAGTGTAGTCTCAGCAAAGGATAGTTTTGTGCTCAAGTAGATACTGGTAGATAGCAGTCAGAGAGAGAGATAGAGAGCGGGATAGATAAAGAGATCGTCAGGCCAACCTGTTCAAGTCGCCTCGAGCTCCAAACGACCGCCGGGGCTGAAACAAGTTCGGTTTATAATTGAGCAAGGGCCACAGCTCCTTTCTTATTCACATGTTGCTGTATTTGCCCAAGTCACAGGACGATCACCACTGATGCGCCTCCCAGGATCCTTGGTGCTCTACCGCCCTCTCGGCCCTCTCGCTGCAGTGTGTGTTGTGATGTACTTCTGATGCACATGCGTTCGCCAACTGCAGCTCTGCGACGCCACCTGGACGACAAATGTTTGCGACGAAAACCAGTCTTGCCACTCCTTGCTGCAGGATTTCTGGAACAGGAACATGCACAAATAGCTCCGGGCTGGTGCCAGCAAAACCTTGCATGCCTTTGACCATAGCAAATGCTCTCGTGACCTATCTGCTGGCTGCACGACGATGCCACAGAGAATTCTATGGTCTTACATGTTGCATCGATGACGAACTCGGCCGAAACGCCATGATATGGCATTCAAGAGTCAACACCCACCCGGAACCACGCAATAGCCATCCGCCTCGCCTACGATAGTGAAGCAGTCACAGTATTATGTCGAAACCACAACCGCTGCACAAAGGACTCTGTTACAGGCAACTGGGCTGCGATCGAATACCTACAGCAAGATGGGAACCGACCTTATCCGCTTGCATGTTCAACTTGCTATCACTTGTCTGCTTCGAGGTGCTACTGACACATCCACTCGTAAAGAGATGGCAGCATTTTTAGCTAGCACTCGGAGCATGCTCACTGGTCTTCAGACTAAGGGTCCCGGTAATCCAGATATCCCATGAAGCCGTCATCGCCATCATCGTCGCTTGGCAAAGGCCACACCTACCCAGAGCCCGACGGTTTAAGATCCATACGTCGCATACAGGGCCATTGTTCTTGCTTACTTGTTGGATGCTGACGAAGGCACACCTGATTGGCTAACCCAACGAGCTTGAGCTTGCTACATCCGTCAGGCTTGGGTCACATCTCCATGCATGCACAGAACGGCATCCGAAGCACTCCCCACTTCACCCCGCCTGTCTGGAGCCGTCCAGGGACAAGCCTTGGTGCTCACTCGCGGGGTGTTGTGGCCAAGGTGTCTCCCACCTAGCAACGAACCAAGCCACTGGAGATCTTGACCGATTGAAGATAGGTCTGACCGAAGGTTGAAGACAGTAGTGGCGATGCCTCAGGTTGCAAAGATGCTGTTGCGAGCATGCTCTCTTGCCAGCAGCAGTATGCTCTCTTGCCAGCAGCAGACTGCAACTGGCTGAACACACCTGATCATCTTGGCTTCCACAGCCTGCGCTTGAGACGAAGATCGTGGAATGTAACACAATCCGGCCAGTCAATCATTGCATTATCGCTGCTTCGGTCTTGCAGGAGCCCCACTTCTGGCCGCAGACAAAGTAAGAAGCCTGAACCGCGCATGGACCAATCCAGGGCGCTGGATCTGCAAGTTGACCCTGCAGTGAGTCCTGGAATATTCCACAAGGCTCGAGTTGAAGCGTTGGACTCGCTCGGCTCACACTCAGCACGTTCTCATGGGGCGGGTGCGCGGCTTTGACCTCTGGGCTTCAGGCCCATAATGCTTCGAGACATTGTGCCTAAGCCAAACTATAATCAGACGAGCCTTGGCGCTGGCTGGTGAGTTCGCAGACCATTCAACTACACTGCACGCGACTCCTCCAGCATCTTCAGCCCTTCCTGGCCCGTGGAGACGTCCAAGTCCACCAGCACCTCGCTTCGGGACTGGGCATCGGGCCGAATCGGGCCTCGCGATCGAGGGTGTCCGAACTCAGGCGAGTCGGAAGGAGATACGAGTACGATACTGTAGTGCGTCTCGGGGGAGTCGAACAAGAACAGAAAAGCGTTGTGGAGATGGGCCTAACAAGGGGAGCGAGGCACGGATCTAAATTATCGGAAAGCACGGGACAAAGCAGAAGCCATCGGAAGCATGTGCATCCGGACGCTTGCGCAGGCAAGGCAAGGTCAAGGCATGATATGCAACATCAAACAACAGCCAAAGCTATGGCCAGGTTTGCACTGTGACATGCGATTGTGGGAAACGTCGCCCAGGAACGGTGCCGTCCACGGCCGCCGAAACCACCACATCAGCCTCAGCTGTAGACCGCAAGAGCAATAATCAATGCATCCTTGTGCAAACCAAGGAGGAAAAAGACTGAATAGCACGACCACCTAGATAGATGGAGCGACACCATGCGATCACATCAACTACTGTACGTGCCGCCCCCACACACACAACGATTCCTACTACGGAGTGGCCTCGACTCTGTCAAGTGCGTCGAGTCGCATGCTACCAAAGCAATTTTAGACCAATCTCAGCCGGCAAGTGCGTCGTAGCGACCGTTTGCAGCGACATAGTCTCTGATAAAGCCGCCTCACGCGGAGTTGTTTGGGCAAATCACCCAGCATTTGAGACAGGGCATTCGGTAACCTGCGATGCCCAGTATAGGTCCTTGGCAGGGCTTGGGACTTTCAGGCTTCGAAATGAGAAGGAGTTCACGAGTCGTGCTTTTCTCGATCAAAAACAATGGTTCGAAGATCATGCCCTAAACGGCCGGATCACCATGCAGCTTGCACTCGCGGCGCGGAACGGTAACCTTTTCCCGCACACCCCCTTCCAACCCCCAATTGCCAATGTGGAATGCCCACGACACCTCATGTAAGCTTTTGGCTCTGGGCCAGGCCGGTCGCACCGACCGCGACGGCGTCAGCGATAGCAATGGTGACTCTGCTGAAGACAATGATCAAGACAGCACCAACGCCCCATCATCGTCATCATCATCATCATCATTATCATATATTGTCATCATCATCGACACTGCAGAACCGAAAAGTCATCTCTATGCCAACACAAACAGCAACCTCAACTGCAACATCAAGAAGACAAAGAGGAACAAGAACACTGACGGCAAAATGGAAACAACGACAAGAGCAATAGTGCTGAGAACAACACGCCCTGCTACAACAGCTTAAGCGCTAAAAAAGCACCAATGCCACCCCACCTGCAGTTGCTGCGCAAAGGATTCCAGGCCAGGATCCTGCAGGATGTAGGAGGCAAACTGATTTGGGACATTTTGGGGCGCGGGTCGCCACAAAATCACGCACCGTCGACTCAAGCTCAGCCTTCCCTCTTATCAGGCAATCATGTCATCGAGTGGGTCTATTGGTTCGTAGCACTAGCCCATTTGGGTCTGAGCGCTGGTGAGGGTGCCACTCCGTGTGCGCAGAAGTCCTTCTGCAGCTGGCGGAAATCCAGGGACGATAATGTTAAGCGAAGCCTGACGAGAGGCGGCCGAACAACGAACGCGGGAAAGTGTTCTGTTCAGCATCACCTAGCAATTCGGCTCGCATCGATTTCAGTTCTTGGACACCTGCTACATGCCTACATTCCTTGACGGTGCAGGTGGAGTGTCTGGTGTATGCATTGCAGCTCCGTCCCTGCAAAAAGGGGGACAGGACATAACCAAAACTGAGCTTGCACAGAAGATCATAGCTATAGAAGTTCGATATCACAGCAACTGCCTCATTTCACCGGTGCGAATTCCTAGCACCATCTAGCAGCAGCACTGAAGAAGCCACAAGGCCACAAGGCCAACAACAGTCAAACCGTAAGCCATTGCAGCTGAGGATCTTGGGCATCGAGTTGGCGGCTGTATCGTCGTCGGAAGGTCCCGAGCCAGATGATCCTTCGGCTTCTGTGCAAGCAGTATCGTTCGAAAGCGGGCACCATGAACTGAGTTTCTTTGCTAAGGTCGAGCTCACAGATGTATCCATGTTTCCCAAGCTTCAACATGCAACGGTGGATGCACTGCAAGCCTCGAAGCGAAGTGGTGACAGATCCAGCAGGTGTCACACTTTCCGGTGCACTGGTGGGGCAGTCCGTGCCACTGTCCTTAGACGTGCCATCTTTAAAGCATGCGATTGTAAAGGAATGTCCTTTAACTTGCGAAGTCGTGCTGCGCGATTTAGCTTCCCTTCCGGTTGTTGTCTAAGGATGACGGCCCTGACGCCACCCTGCATCCGCAGGTACGAGCTTGGAGTTGTACATTTCAGGCAGCTTCGCTCCGACCTCCCAGTATCTTCGGACCTTCTCCGTGGTTGCTGTTCATCCACCCAGGCGTCTGCCGCAGCCTGTCTACACCTGTCCAACAACCAACGATTCCACTGAATCAATGCCTGGCAGGAGTCGCAAAGGACGGTGATGAAGAGCACCTCAAATCTGTTCTCTCGAAGCTTGGACGCAGCAGTGCACTCAGTGTTGTTTGCCCCGTACCTATGCCTGCCCCGCTACCCCTGAGCAATTCGCCTCGGCCTTGGCCGAAGCGGTCAGAGGTTTCTTCCCCTCCCGCAACCTTTTGCCCCTCCTCTCAAACCCCTCTTTGTGGGCCAATGAACCCCTCTCTTCAAATTGGATTTTGGCTTCCAAGCCCCCAGGACCAGAGATCTTGACTGAAAAAGTGGTCCCGCGGGGGGTCAACAAATATGACACCTCTATGGCAATGGGTCGACTCACTTGCGTTCTTTAGGACCTGCAATGCGAGATCATGCGAAACACCGGACGAGCATTCTACTCTGGGAAAACTGCGTCCAGCATCTCCGGACTTCCAAGGCTTCTACCGGAAAATGGGGCCAAGATGCCGTGGTGCTGGCGCCGTTCCAGCCATAAGCAATGATCCTTACCCAGCTTCACTGCAAGGAGCACCAGTTACTGACTAAAGCAATCTAAAGCACTTCAGAATACAACGTGTTGACAGAACGGATCCGGGCAGGGTTTCCTTCTGAAACCCTGAGTTCCTTCGGACAAGACAGCTTGGGCTTTGCCGATTGGAATAGGACCCGCACACGGAGTGATCCATGATCATATCGTTCGGCCAGGGAGCACAAAGGACTTTCGGTCCGAACTCGCAGCCGGCGTGCCTCGAAGCTCGCCGTCTCCCTGGGCGAGGTCATGTGATCGCCTCCTATTCACATCGAACCTCGTTTAGTTCTACAAATCAAGAAGGCAGCTCGAGAGGCAAGAAACCTTGGTTGTGGCTTGAGGGGCTTTACTCTTCAACTATCACAGGGGCAGTGACAAAGTTCGTGTGCCTCATGCACGAGCTTGTGTTCCCCATCCGTTGAAAGATCCCCTGAATTATGCAAACCGACAACTCCTGAAGGTCTGAGCCTGCACCTGCCAAGCGCACCTCAACCAAGACGTGGCGCGGACATCATGAATGAAAGCCTGAATTAAACCTGCTGGCAGATACCCTCATCTCTCTGTCCATGTCATCCCAAGGCACATTCAGGCTTAGCCCTGCCGGCAAAGCCTGAGATCCAAACACTTCGCTTGGTCTGTCAAGTCGGGTGTGTCTGTGTGCGCAGACATATGGGCAGGTAGGGTGTGCATAGCTGGCCACAGGCAGTCCTTCCCCATCAAATCCGTCACGCAGTCTTGACCTACACATAATCACTGCTACCAAAACCTGCAGCTCAAGAAGGATCGCTACATATCGCCACGTTGCAGGATCGACCTTGAACTGCAGCAACCTGGCAGCCCGCACGTTTTGCTATCGTTTGGGGTCAGACTGAAGCACCTGGCCCGACCAAGGAAGGAACTGCGGCTTCGACCATGAACTCCGTCACTGCCAGCAAGAAGAGCAACGCCCATGCTAAGGACCCCAACTTGGCTTTGAAACCAACCCCGGAAGGCCCCGAACTAGAACCTAACTCCGATCCCCTAACCCCTAACCCCTAAACCCTAACACATAAACCCTAAACTCCAATCCCCTCACCCCTACACCCTAGCCCCACCGTGCCCTACGAGTACCTGGGTCGGCTCTGCAAGGTCGGCCGCATGGGCCAGGCCCGGAGGCCCTCCGTCCGGGACAGCTCCAGTCCGACCTTGTCGGCCCCTTTTGAACTTATAAAGTTATAGGGCTTAGGTACTATAGGGGCCTTAAATTAGTACCTATACTATTTTGGGGGTTCCTTATTATATTAAGAAGGAGTTTGGGCAGCTAGCTAGGGCTTTTCTTCCCTGACGCATTACAGAGATCAAAGCTCACAGCGAGGTTACTTAGGAGCACCATTGACGACAAGATGTGCAACGAAGTAAGGCATGCCATTAGGCTGGCTCCATCAAGAAGTTGTGAATTACAGTAGTGTCGGTTGTGCCGAAACACACTGTTTTGGTACAGAAATGCACTCACTGCTTGCACGACACCCAAGGTTGTCAGCTGGTGTTTTTGGCTAGGACTTAGGGTTCAGGGTTTAACGGCAAGTGTGCTTTGAGTTTTTCCGTCAGCAAGAACTGGCTTAGAGTTTCGACTCGAACGCTTTTTTGGTTTTGACGCTCACACTCGAACGAATTCAGGCAACGAGCGAGGGCTATCTGAAGTTCTTTCAAAGGAAGGTACGTCTTCAGCATGTACCCAATGCAATCCGCTTTTTTTCAGCGTCCACTGACTCATCCACCAGAGGCCGAAATTTTCAGGCTATCCGATTATCGACTGGAAATGCCCCTGGATCACGGAGCCCTGTTAGAACGACTTTGCACTTGAGGCCAGCGAACCTTTAGCTCGAACTCTTGCTGAGGATAGTGAAGGCCAAAAGGAAAGTCCTGCCAGGAACGAGCATCGATCGATGCCTTGCTATGGGAATATCATATTGGGTAGGGCTCTGGAGTAACTCTCAGCCATAAGGTCGGGGATTCAGGGATTGGTTTCCAAGCACTGTTGACCTCATGCAACTGGCGGCCCGGTACTTAATCACATCTGTGTCATCATGTTTGTTACTACCCCTACGGTATGGCTGGGCAGGAACTTGGCGAGGCCCGCGCTCCTGTCGATTTCCCGCGGTATCTGGGACGCTGCAGTCCTCGCCCATTGATCCTGGAGCACAAACCTCGGCTGGTGAAAGGAAGCAGTAGGACAACGATGCCTGAGCTGTGCTGGACATGCTGCAAGTACGAATGCCGACATCCCGATAAGCACAAGAAAGCGCCACCGCCTGCTTGGCCCCTTCCCAACAAGTCATCCCTTGCCAGGCTGCGCAGCGGCCATGGCGATGCCTAGCGCTGAAGCGCGAGCCCGTAGACTATGTTGTCGAGTCCCGTTTTGCGCAACGTAAACGAGGCACTCACATGGCTGGAAGTTCGTTTTGGGATTCGAGCAAGCTCCGTCTTGTAGGCCCGCAGACACATGAACCGCAAACAAGGTGCGTTCCGGGAAAATGGCATTCAGCGCCTTCCTGAGGGCCCTGTGTGCCACTCTCCCCGCAGATGGCAGCATAGCCCGGGCACTGGATGAAGCCTGCAGGGCTGTAGAGTCCGGCACGGATATGAACGTTCCGTCCTGCAGAAAACCTAGGACCTGGGACAAACGGTAACACACAGAAAAAAAAAAAAAGTGACAAAAGACCCAGAAAAACAAGCCCTCCCCCTTACACCGCCAAAGCCCCGAATCAAAAAACACGACAACAACAAAGGCCAGCGTGTCGGGCTTACCCGCTTTGGCCCGGGTAAGTTTTGATTGGTTACACAGCCTCTTGCTGAGGAGAGCTTTGGTGATGCGACATTGCGCTGTGACGTGCTGCGCTGCGGTGTGATGATGTGCTGATGCAATGCTGATGCAATGCTGTGATGAAGTGCATCACACGGCCTTGAAGTGCTTTCTGCCACGCATTGCAGGAGCTATGTCCACGCCAAGGCTAGGAGGGTTCCACAAACAAGAAAGCGTGCAAAGCCACTAAACAGCTGTGTCAAAGCAATATTTTCTCACGGTTTGGGCTTAGAGTCCAGGGCCTCGGGTCCAGCAGCACCAGAACCACCAGAACCACCAGAACCACCACCCACCACCACCAGAACCACCAGAACCACCACCACCACCATCATCATTATCATCATCATCATGCCAATTGTCTTATCCTGATGCTGCTCATGGTGGTGGTGATGGTGATGGTGGTGAAGATGATGATGCTCAGGAGGATGAGGATGACGAAGGCCTTTGGTGGTAGCTGGAAATTAGAGCCATGTTCATCAAGACGAGGAAACCTAGCACAAGACGAAGAACCACAACGACATTGACGACGATGAGGACAAGGACGAGGATCTGAGAATGAGGATGAGGAGCATGGCAATTGTGGTGATCATGATGATGATGACGACAAAATAGAATAAGCGGAAGATGAGGATGAAGATGGTCACAAGCAGACTTCAGCTGCTCTTCATGAGACTCAGTTTCTGCAGCGTCGGGCGAAAATCTGCAGCTGCAAGAGCAGCCGGTCGTAGCAGAAGCGGGAGTAAAAGGCAAAAGCAGCAGCAAGAGCCAGAGCAGGAGCAGGAGCAAGAACCCACTGAAGTGACAGTAGAGATCCCCCCCGCAATAACAAAGCCACTTGTCGAGTTTTAATTGGGGGGACTCCGGCCCCGTTTAATCTTAATGCTTTTTCCTCTCGCATGGCTAGGCAGCTAGGATCTATGCTCACAACCGTGCTTAATATTCAGGCAGGGGAAGGGAAGAGGTCCTTGGCCGAAGGATGTGCTGGATCAAGAATTGCCTGCCTGCAAACTGTCCAAAGACCCTCTTCCTCACACCAGTCCTCAGTTGTCGACGCACTCATATCCTTTTCTCACACGCTCCTCCAGCTTGCTACTGAAAACCGCAAGGAGCCGCCTTCCTCAAGAACCCAGCCAACCTAGTACCTCTGGGCCGACGCCGGCAAACAAATGCGGAAACTCTAAACACTCGGAGAGGCGTCGCAGAGTGTAACATAATTGTATTTTTCCTCCGGCTATCAATAGCCTGGTATAGTGACTGCTCGTGCAGATGTTCCACAGCGCTTTCTCGAAGTGTGACAGTTACCACGGCGACTCGTCGTGCTACATTAAGCCGCTGACCAGATTTGCATTGACGATAGGGAAAACGTGCTCCATCTTAACACGTGATGTTGTCCCGAACGCCGACGCGACGTACTGCCTGCATTAAGCCGCTGAAGAGGTATGCGCGATTCTTTTCAGCACCCAAGCAACTCTTCTTTCCCGCAGAGTACGAAGTTATTCTCGCTGATCCTGCACGGCCGAATTGGTACAATGCATTTGCAAGCATACACTTGCTAGAACGAGACGAGACGGTCACGAAAGCTAGGAAAACAAATTCACCCTGATCGTTGCAGACCACCGGACCCAAACACAAATGCACAAAACCAGTGTCGAAGCCCAGCTCCAAAGCGAACACAACGGAACGTCCGATGGCACAGTGAAACCTGATCCAGCTTGAGTCTTTAGGCGATGTTGTCCCACCGAATAACCGAATACCAGCCCGTCCTTTCAACCCGCTGCATCAGCAGCTGCACGTCGACAACAATGATTCACAACATGCTGACTAAAGCATTGATAGTCGAAACCTACAGTCAATTTGCACGTTCCCAAATCTCAAAACTCGACGCTGCGAGAGCTCTTGCATGGCAAGCCCTCAACACGGGTAAAAACGGTGCCTTCTCGACGATGTGTGCACGATACGATCGAATCTAAGCCGAATCAAGGCCCTCTAAGCGACGAGTGCTCCAGCCTCGATATCCTGTAAATGCCTGCGGATGGTTTAATTTTCTAAACACTTCTAGCCCACTGGGAAGACACCAAGGTTTTGGGGGGTTCAAGTGACAGCCGAGCCACCGAAGTCTACCTAGTCCCTTAAAACCAGTCGGACCGGTCCTGATTCGCAGCGCATCTTCTAAACAGAAAACGTCACGGCATGTTCCTTGTGGCTCATCTGGTGGCACGAAGCCTGGTCAGCTAATTAGCCAGGCAGCATGCGCTAGCGAGGCTGCCCTAATTACATGGGTCTTTGCGTCTCAGGACGTGGGGAGTAAAGAGTCCCGGGAAGGGAGAGAAAGAGAGAGAGAGAGGGAGAGCTCAGTCAGGCAGATTGCACCGCACTGTGGCCTGACTGGACGGCCGTGGACAGCACGCATCGCGATGCAGGGCCGTGGGATTCACCGAAGCCTGGAAGGCTGGGTCTGGATGGTCGAAGATGTATTCCTGCTGGGGCACTCACCACTGAGCAATGAGCACTCCTTGCATTCTGCCCAACAGGACTACTTGCTGTGAACCACTGGAAGGACTCACTACAGAAGGTGTGCGAGCCACACCTCCGATGACATCTTTCGCCAAAATGTAAAGTCAACGGTAGCAAGGAGGCGACTTTTAAGAAGGAGACAGCGTATGGGGTCAACCTAGCACTTCATACCCCGTCCGGCTCATGCTACGGCCCGCATGAACAATCAAAGCATCAGGATGCCAGCAGCGACTTCGAACAACAAGCCTCTAGAGGCCCTTCCTGAAAGCCCAAGAAGCGTTGCGAGGTTCGGTCGCTGTATACACCACTGGTTGCGCAGGTGGTCGGCCGCCCAGAAAACCAGAAAGGCTCCACCGTCGGGCAGTAACCGATCTCAGATTCTTCGAGACTTACGCGACATGCAGTGTTCACCAGCCGGGTTTCACTGAGAAGCTGCACGACACTGTGCGACATCGATGGAGCAATCCTGTTCTGTTCGCAAGCTGGGCGGCGTAGCGAGCAATGCCGCCCAACCTCACATACAGGAAAGCCAACCGACTGTCGCAATCGCGACCAGTTAACTGACTCCCGTGAGACTACAGTTGACTACGGAGGCTTTTGCTACTCACCCCAAGGACCGGCCTCGGATTGTCGAAATGCTGGTATCTGGTCGGCAGAGCAGAGCTATGAAGACAATTGGTGCAAGCTCCCAGCGACAGGTGGTCGTGGGAACAGCCGATGGCTCCTGCCGGAGCAGTTGAAAACTCCAGCATGTCCTAATCGATGTACACTGTTGGCTGAAGAGAAGTTGAAGACTAGTAAAGGAAAGAGCAGTGCCTGCTTGGTACAATCTGGTAGTATACAGTCTACGGTATACTAATCTTATCCTGTTTGCGGCCTACAACTCAGGGATAAATAAACGTCGTGTTCTTGTGTCGAGCCTCGTGATCCCTGGAGTTCAGCGGCATCAGGTACAACAGCTGTCCTTCCTACCCTGTTACAAGCACAAGGGAGCGTCTTAGCAAACGAGTGGCTGCAGTATGTAGCCGCCAATGTAGCCTGATCTGACAACCCAACCCTGCAGGGATCACAACTTGCTGACTGAGGAAAGCAATCGCTTCGTGAAGAAACTATTCGAGACGAAAGCCATACCCTAGAAGCCCTGGAAATGTCGACGGCGTCTCCTGCACTGGGGCTTGTGCAGCTGCCCTGGTTCTCGGTGCAGAAAGTATCAGGGAAAGCGCTTTGTCTGTCCTCAGCCAAAGGCAGATCGGCATTTGTGAGGCGCTAGACACGGCACCATCGGCATGGCGGAGCCCGAATGGCAAAAGTGGAGCACCAAGGAATATGAAACCGTGACATGAAAGACCGAGATTCAAGCCCGAATTCCCTGCTGCTGTGCGCTGATGCTGCTAGACTTGCGCGACCATGTGTACAATAGTCGTGGGCATGCTGGCAAGTTCAGACTGCACAGACCGAGACAGACGATATCGAAACTGCCCATGCCTTCGGGCTCAATCCTGCGGATCTGGGTCCAAGCCCAAGCCCGGTGTTCCAGAAATTGCCGAGGCACGATGATGCAGCTGTTCTGGAGGAAGCCTGCGACTCGGAAAACCCGAAAGGTCAATCGGACGTTGCACAGGTCTTTCTGAAGAGTGGGCACTTGCGATTGAATGCGGCCAAACGAGAACAAGAAATGTCGACTCCGTGCTGTGAGCACAGAAGCCGATGAAGACCGCCCCCATATACATCTTTGTCCCGACATGAGTTTCCGGAGGGCTATGAACACCCATGAAAAGCCGAGTTGCTGCAGCCCTTCCCTCGACCGAAGACGAAGTGTCCAGCTGCGCTGTCAGCATCTGGCACAGGAAGCGTGCTTCGCGTTCTTGCACCGCAAATTACTAAGCGCCTGGAGCTATCTTAGATAAGGACTCACGGCTCCACTAAGTACGAGCATGCGAAGCTGTCTCAGCAGAGTGTCTCAGTTTCTAGGGGCGCAGTGAAGGGACCAGGCTAGGACTTGCAACCCATGTCAACCCACACTGAAAAGCGACTGGATCCCATCCAGCTCGCCCTGGCTTAAACCCTTTCCAACGGATGGACGCACTCATTTCTCAAGACTTCCTGGGCCGTGTAATTGCAAGAGAATGTTGGCACGTCAAGGGGCATTGCCACTGGACTTGCGAACTGTGGCCATTTTTGGCTGCGGGAGTGACATGTCGAAGACTCGAGGCTTTCGAACGTCCGGCCTGGCGATGCCAAACCTCCCAGGACCCGATACCACCCGCTGTCCTCTCAGGGCAGATGACAGATGTGCTCAGACTCAGGGAGGTCAATGGTCATGTGTCTTTACATTGGACACTGGCATGGAACATGCAAGATGGGATGACTGGAAATGTAGTCTTGGTCCGGCACACGGAAGGACTTGGGCTTGCTTTGGCAAGTGCTGCCCAAGACAACCGAGCTGCTCAGAAGTATCTACGCTTCGGGTTCCGAGTTGAGAAGTCGTGCTCCCGAACTGAAACCATCGAAGCCAACAGCGCCATCGCAAGAGTTGTATTATAGCTCATCGAATGAATACTCATACGGGCTCTTGCTCCTCCAGTCTCCGGCTCTGCACGATCACAAGTCTCTGTGCTGCACTCCTCCAAGAGTGCCAGCGTCATCTCTGAGATCCGGGGCATTGCACTGCTTTCCGCAGCCATCACCTCCCACACGAAGCAAGCGAAGTCTACATCTTTTTCAGATTCTTTGCCTCCCGGCTAGCTGACCGCACTGCAGGGACCACTATACAAAGATCACACAATGGACAAGCACCGTGGCATTCGGACATACTCGCAGAACGGAAAGACACCAAGAAAGGATGAACCAGTACACGTAAGATCCCGTCCGAACTCCACAGCACTCGCGCACAGAGGAAGGCGCGAGTACTTCACGATCAGCCCTGCACTTTGCAAATTCGCAAGCCAATCATGCTTCGTGCTGACTTCGTGAGTCGCACAACATGGCTCCAGACTTGCGCAGGTGCCGTGAAGATGGCCTCTGAGTGCATTATCCGGGCGTCCCAGTGTGAGAAAGCAGAACCGTCGCCACCCTGTTCCTCCAGCGCAACGCCTGGAACAGCAGCAGTACCGGTGCTACTAGGCTTGCCGACCCTGCTACAAGTACAAGCCAGCAGATCATCTAGCAGCGATCTTCGTGCCATCCAAGGAGCCCAGGAGCGACGGGCAGTCAAAGTGCTGTCGTGCAGCTTGCCTGGGCTAAGGCGAGAGGAACACCGAAAAGCCTTTGGCTCTACATCTCCGAACCAAACCCTGTGCCTAAACTAAACCCTTGCATTGCTCAGTCTGAGTGGCACGACTTTGGGTAGCGCTATGAAGTGCCGTTCGAGGCCATCCACCTGCTCCTGACCAGCACGTCAGGTCCGGTCCAGATCGTGGCAACCAAGAACAGAATCCAGATCCTCTCGCAAATACATATATGGATAGAGAGCTGGATCTAAGGGCGAAGTGTCAAGTCCTGCTCCGGATAGATTGAGACAAGCGATCTGAAGATTTGCGACACACGGTAACCCCTAAGCAATAAAGTGTTTGGCCGCGACATCAAGGACGGAAGGCCCCTCTACCTGATCATGGTTGGATGATAAGCCAGAAGATGCTCGGTTGGATGGTCGCATGTGCTATGATACAACCGTAGTAGATGCGACCGTAAATTGTAAACCGCACAGGAGTCGATGATCTACTATCTCTTTGTTAAAGATATCGTATACTACAGTATGCGGAACCGCCTTCTTTCCTGTCCCCCATGCAAACAAACCCATGAACCTAAAACACAACGGAGGCAGGACGCGACTGGCAAAAGCACCTCCCAAAGCCCGTGATTGAAAAACTGCTAACAGCTAACATAACTAGAGTGGCTTGAAGCCATATCCTGGAATCTACTACTGTAGTAGGACCCTGCAGATGCCTGAAGCCCTGCTTTGACCAACTCAGGGTTCCCAAGCGAGTCAAGATTCCACGCGCACTGTGGAGCTGCCGGCTCGGTACATGCCGTCCTGCCCGGTCTCAGGATGTAGGACGCACAGCAGTGTGGCAGAAACAATTTTGAACATCATGACAAGCCTCGAATCGTAGAACTATAGATACTCTTGAGATGAATTGAAGCAGTCTTCGTGGGCACCAGAAAATTCCCCGGCACATGGCTGCTGTGAGCTTTCATTTAAAGCCTGAAAACTAGAAGAGCTCCCGGCCTGCATCGGTGGCAAGCCCCACACCTCGGCGGGTTTTGGGCCCATCGGTTGTTTGGTACCACAGCTTCTGCAATCTGAAGTCAACGGCTGCACCGACCAGCCGGAGTAGCTAGAGGGAAGCCGAACATGCCAAATGTCCGAGACTGGGCCTCATCGCGAGGGGTTCGTGGTGCTCCCAAGACGTCGCGGAAGAAGGGAAAGAGCGAGGAGGAAAAGGCCATACTGTGCCTTGAGAGCTGGCTGCTTCGTTGTTCGTTTCAGACCGGAGATGTGCAGCATACTGTTCGCCCCTGCTCCCTGCAATGCTATCATGTGTCGTAGCAATGCCACCATGGAGCAGAATTTCGTGGATCGCGATTGCCACGTCTTGGTGCCAGTTCCGCTCGCTTGCTGGACTCAACCGGTTTGGACAAAAGTTGAAGTAGCCTGCAGGGCGCAAGTGCTTAGAACAGAACTCACACCCAGCAGGCAACAGAAAAAGACTAATTAAGCGGAGAAGAAGGAGCCTGAGGGGCACTCCTGCCCTTCCATTGCATGCCATGCTGAAGGAAGCTTACATTTCCTCAAGAAGCTACTTGATATTCTGGATCTGACAAGTTGTGGACGACACTCGGTGAGCATTGCAAGCACCACACTTGTGACCATCGTGCCGGCACACCACAACAGCGAGGGTCCGCTCCGCTTACTGCGCGAAAGAGGCAAATCTATTGAAGCTTCCGAAGGCTCGTCGAGCTTCGGGTTTCACGGTCACGAAGCTTCCTGAACCACCCCTGGCCGGCTATCCCAACTATTGCAAGGTCCGGTGTAAAGGATATAGCAATGCAGCTACAAGGTCCTCTCTTAGGACAGGCACTTGCCATGGTCCAAAACAGTGGCCCTTGGAGCCTGCCAGGGGCCGGTCATCCTCGGCTTGACGGCAGGTGCTCGCATAAGCAACCTCGGCTCCGACGCTCAGTGCGAGAGGTGGTGCTAAGGACGGCGGCGGCAGGCTCAATGACGGAGGCAAGCAGATAAGACAGCCATCTGTACACCATGAGCCCTACAAGGACTCGTATTCATCTTCGGGGAGTATCAGTATCAAAACCACTCTCTGCGTAGTTGCTGAACGACTGCCGTCATCATGTTCAACCTGATCCTTCTTGTCATTCGCGTTTTGTTTGTGGTGACCCTGACGTCTTACGTCGTCTGCAGACGCTGTTGGTGCTGAAAATGAGAACATGCGTTGAGAACGCTGTTAAGGTGGCTTGGCTGTCTGGCTTCACAGGTTGATGCTGCAGAACGATAGGAATGACAAACGCATTTTCAGCAAAGGGAACGCCGAGTCATGCGACGCATCAAAACACGGAGTTATGCTGTGGAATGAAATGGTGGTAGAAAGTCCAAGAGCGAAGGCAAGACTGGACAAGGTGCTGCGAGTTCCGAAATGCTAAGTAACCAAAATAGGTGCTACACAGAAGTCTCACGCCCAATGGGCGCATTGGGCCAGCATGGTCCATCTACTGGCCAAAGGGCTGTGTTGCCGGAACACCACTGTGTCTGAGCTGCCGCCACGTAGATGGCCAAGTCCTTGGTCCCAACCCCATGTAACGCATCAGGATCCAATAGTTTGTTGCATCAGTCGAAATTTCCGTGCCTACTGAGCTCTCGGATCACCTCCCAACACTCAACAATTCGCTCAAAAAGTCGATGGTGACCCACCTCCGAAGATGCAGTCTGCTTGGATGAAGTCCGTTACCCGTTTCGCCACCTTCTCCATGGTTTGTCTCATAGCTGCAGAAATCCAAAATGTTGGAAGCCTCAATTGTCATGCCCAGGATCTGCATTGGGGATGCCCGCGCCGCCACTGGAAACTTGACAACCTGCGCACATACAAGCTGGCGTGGCAAGCATAGATTGCAGCAGGCTCAGAACGATGGTTTTGGTCCTGGTTGCCTGGGCGGTTGTTCTGGCACTGATGCTGGATATATTCCCGGCAGTTGCTATGCTGATGGTCGCTAGGTCAGTTCGCAAAAAAAAAATCAGTGTGACACACACTGATGCATCGCCCGGATGGACGGAGGGCCAGCCCAGCCAGCACGTCTACGCAAGCCATGGTTTTAGTTTTAGTGGACGTTTTTTCGTAGCTGCAGACCACACGTCGTGTCGATATGCAGTGGCAATATACAATGCCCAAAAACATTTTCACGGTCTTGAAGATTTCAATTGGCTCTTGCACGGATTTCTGGCGTCCCAAATTACGATTGGTGACAAGTGGCTGTGTGCGTGTTATCTTATGCTGTCTGTCACGTGGATGTCACTGTCGCTTGTATTTCCAATCGCATCATTATGGCTGATGCAAAACTTCGTTGCTTCTCATCTTAATAAATCTTGTATATACCTTGTTGGTTACTGTTGTAACACGCATCATGGGGAAGGCGTCACGTATGTCACCGTACGATTTCTCATCTACTCATACACACTGTTGACCGTGGAATTGTGTGGTGCTGGTGTGCCGTTTTCGCTACCGCCGCAATGCCTGCCATGCCATGCCATGCATACCGTACCGCACGAGACATGTAAATATACATATACACAGATATATACATATATAGACGCATATACAAATACGTAACACGTATCGCATCACATATGTCACCGTCAAATTTCTCAATTACTCAGACACTGCTGCCGATAGAATGTCGTGCTTTTGGTGTAACATTTTTGAATACCGCCGCCATGCCTGCCATGCATACCGAACCACATCATACATTGTACATACACACTCATTCCCTTACACACGTAAAGACGTACAAAGTTACATACAGACAGACAGACCTACCTACCCGCTGGTAACCTATCTACGCAGTTGCCCAGCACATGCACACCAATGTGCAAACACACACATACATGCATTCATACATACTTTCATACATACATACTTACATACATACCAACATACATATGTACACACATAGAACACATACAAGAGTTCACACATAAACATGCATACATGCATACAAACAGAAAGAAAGACAGACAGACAGACAGACAGACAGACAGACATGTTGACATTGACGCTGTGCGTAGTCTGTGGAAAAGTGACCATAGCCCGGCAATCACGTGTCTATATATATAGATACCACAGTGGGAATTAACATACATATTGAGAACGACTAATCAGGTGCAGGATTGACGCTTACACTTCCGTGCCGAAACGTTGTATAAAGATTTGTTGAAGATGAGCGCGGGGATCCGGCTCGCACAGATGCTGCCACGATGACAGGCAGACAGACAGATAAACAAACAAATGAGCGTGCAAAAATATATACATACATACAGATATAGGTATGGATATAGATATATGAGATAACTGTATGTATATACACACATAAACACACGCATACATACATACCTAAATACATACATACGTACATACGTATGCATACATACATACATACATACATACATACATACATACATACATACATATAGACCTGAGCTTAACAGTTGTTACACAGCGCCTGTATGCTCGTTTTGCCTGCCTGCAAGAACGTTGAACAGCCCGTACTTCAAACAAACATTATTTCGAACTGTCTAGGACCTCACGGCTTCGTTGTACGTCTGGACAGATGAATGGGCTGCACAGAGGCCGGTGTTGTCCCTGCCCTTGCAGAGACTCTCGAAGGCCAAGACGCGCCCCCTTCACCACCCCATGTAATATGTTTAAACTGGGGAACTTTTGACGAATGACCGAGGCGTGGAAGGGATGTTGCGAATTCTGGCTCCCCCCATGGTCGTTGGGGACGAGCTCCAACTTATGGAGCTGTAAGTTTTCGGGGCATGTAGCAACAGCGGGTAGATGATGACCCGGTGGACTTCAAAGCCAGCAAATTTAGGCAGGTGGCCCTGCAGACTCAAGCTTCCAGCTTGCGACAGGCCACACATGGGATGGACAAGATTGCTGCCAAAGCCATGCTCTCTGGAGCTGCATAAACTTATATCACAAGCAGGGATGTCGAAACCAAAATCCGACATCCCGGGTGGGATCGCAGCCCAGACTCTGGCCCCATCGATGGTCATGCTCGCCTAAGGCCTGAAATACAGTGCCGTCGACGACTTGCCCATTCTCCCAAACCATCTCCTCAAAGCCACCAAGCCCACCACGGGCTCCTCAGCGGTAAGCATGGCCGGCGACCTGAGTTGTTTAAATTACCATCTAGTGAAAGTTTATATAAAATTCAATCATTGCTGCTCCGTGACAAGGTGGGTGCTGCCACCGTTTGGGTGGTCCTGGCCACAAACGATTCCGGTGAATCGCCGGAGCCCCACCTGCGGGTTTCACAAAACCAGGGTAACTACGGGCTCGTTATGACAAGGACCCGATCATTGCTTAATCTTATACCAGAGCTTCCTGCCCTTATTTCGGAACCCCTCCGCCTTTTCCCGAAAGCACTGAAAGCCCCCAGAAGCCTCGACTTCCTCGTGTCGTAAGGCTCCCCCAACACACTCAGCCAGTCCTGAAAGTTATCCACGGATCATGAAAGGGAGATTGGTCACCTGAGTCGGTTCAACACTAAACTTTAGCCTACTAGCTTTTAACAAATTCGCATACCCCCGGGAGAGTTACGACAATGCACAAACTTCAGCACCTCCTGTCTTGCACCTGGAAGTGGTGCGACCTTCGACCACCAGGATGCCAGGACGAAGAGGCGGGAAAAGCTATGGGCCAATAGACGAAGTCGTTGTCTATTGGCCGGTCTTCCAAAGTAAGCAGGCGAAGAAAACGATCTTGTTTGGGAGTTGTTGTCTCCTGCGGCTCCTGTCTCTCCTATCGCCATTCAGCAACCTGAGTATAAATCCAGCTCGTGGGGGATGTGCAACATGCACATTGCCCCTTCCACTTGTCGCTGACCAGTGGTTTCCAAAGCCAAAGCTGGGATGGTTCATTTTCACCAGAGAGACTGTTTAAAGTGCAGACTGCTTGAGCCTAATCCTTACAGCGACGGTCAAGGGGGTTGTAGCTCGGGACTCAATCCCACTTCAGGCAAGATTTCCGTTCTGCACAGACAGGAACCAAAAGCTTCAAAAACCAAGGCCAGCTCCAATCATTCGCGATTAGAATCATGGGCACCGAGTATGCACACTCGTCGTCGACGTCGTCGTCGCCGTCGGGCATACATAGGGGGAGGGGGGGATGCCATGGGATGGGGGAGGGGAACGGGGGTGTGGCAGCCCTGCAGCATACATACATACACCCATGCATGCATACACACATACATACGTACATGCATACATGCATACATACATACATACATACATGCACAAATACACATATACATATACATATACCTATGGATATAGATATGCATATGTACACATACATACATACATACATACACACACACATACATACATACATACATACATACATACATACATACATACATACATACACACACACATACATACATACCTACCTACCTACATACATACATACATGCATACATGCATGCATGCACACATACGCATTAGGCAGGCTGGCTCGTTACGTGCCTGTACATGTTACAGTCAAACAATGTGGTTGCAAAATGGCCTCGTTTATCTTCACTCCGGCTAGCTATCGAGCTGGCTACGTAGGTAGGTTACCAGGTAACGATAGACTTATCGGTGAATAGGTATTCTTTTTGCTTCGGGACTCCATGGATTTGCCCGGGGCACAGACGCTTTGCTTGCAGCAGCCTTGCCAAGAAAAGATAGATAAATAGACAGATAGACAGATAGATAGATAGATAGATGGATAGATGGATAGACAGGTATGTATTAAGATAGGTCGATAGATAGCGACCAGCTGGTTTGTTGTTATGGAAAATGTTGTGGCTACCTGCCGCTTCGGTCATGTTGCTCACATCTCCAAAATTATGAACCCTGCGCCTGCCAGCATTCCCGAGGGACACACCTCCTGTGGTCAGCGAGGAATTGCTGAATTCGAGGGGAAACTTAAGCTGGAAGCAATGCCGTGCAATATCAAAATATGAGTTGAGTTGCAGATCGTAATTCTGACACAAAACATCAGAAGCCACTATGTTCAAACCTACCAGCAGCCGAAAAAGCACACCTGCCAGGTCTACTGCACCCGGATCCTGCAACATCAGAGTGACATGCAGTTACGATGTTCGAAAGATTCTCCGGATCCGTGTTCGGGCTGCATTGTGGCAACAAAACACACGTGCAAACTCGGGGCCTAGAGAATCGAAGGATTACCATCAAAGGAACCTGGCTCAAGCCGTGCGACGCAGTGAAGTTATCAGCCCCTCGGATAATTAAGCATGAACACACTCCTCACACTTGAGTCTCCTTATCCGCGAAGTGTTCACGTGGGATTGTCACCGGTCCGCATTCCTGTGCCAAGGTAGGTCAGAGCTCAGGGTGACGCTAGGCGGGAATACTCGACTTCTGGGCCTCTGGTGTGGCCATTAAAGTTACGGCGCGAACCAAGACTCCAAGCCGACCTTTGCGTGTGCTGTGTTGTACGGCTTGCTTGTCACTAACATCCACTAACGACCAGCCTGAGGCTTCTTGCCTTCCACTGAGACCGTTTTCACCTTCTCAGCATCTCCGTACCATTGCAGCGGTCTTCTGCAGAAGCTAAAATGGGCTTGCTGCACCTACCCCCAGGCAGCTCCCTGCTTACAAGTTAGGCGATGCATGACAGCCCTGAAGCATCCCACAGCTAAACCCAACGGAGAGGGAGAGGTCCTGGAAGTTCTCCTGCAGCTTTGCGCAGCGCCCGGAACCCGAAAGGATGGCTGCGCACGGCCTCGGCACAGAGCTGCTTCGAACCGTCCTTCCCTGAGGTACCTAAGAAATAGCATCCTAGCCTCCAAAGGAGTTGAAGAGTCCTGGGCATCTCGCGCCAGCCATAAGATCTGAGCATCATAGCTCGAGTCTCTGAAATCCGAGAGGGGCGAAACCTTCGCAATCTCATGCGCATGCGGGCGGCTGCTCGTATCGCAGGCTGCCCTCAACTGGTAAGACCTGGAGGAATCAAACGGCATCGCGGTCGTGACTCGGGGAAGTGTATGCCAGCTACCAAAGCACAGTCCAAAACACGGGGCTGAATGCAATTGTGGAGCCTACATTGCAGTTTCGTAACCTGTGCGAACCTGGACTCTGCCTTGACAAGCCGGGATCCGAACTCACGACACCTGGCAAACAAAAACTACCGAAACGGCTCTCGCACCTACTCTCGCACCCGGCAGTTCAGCTCGTGACAGTTGACACGAAACTGTGGCCTTGCAGCTCTGAGTTTTTGGTCAGTATGACAGGGAAAGTCAAATCGCATCACAAAGCTGCGAAGACTCTGCTGAAAACCTGTGATGCTGGAACAGAGTGCGGCATGGACTTCATCGTGGGTCGACGGAAATCATGATTAGCCACTTCTCACACGCCAAGGCCACCAGATGTCAGACATCGCCACGATTTACATATTCTTACAGTGTCGACTCGTTTTCTCTCTTTCTCTACGAGCTCCGGCTTGCACAGGCTTTCTTCCCGCGAGGCTCCTGTGAAGAGCGCTTCTGAACAGCTGGGGAACTTAAACCCTTTCCCTCTTCTAGACTGCTCAGCAAATCCTGAAACTGGGCGCAGGCCAAGCGGCGCCCTTCAAGAACATGCTCAACCGATAAGCTACACGTGCTGGCAAATAAAACTGGTTGAAACCAACAATTACCTCACCATAAAACCGACAACTGATGCTTTGCATGCGTCTAGATCTATATTCCCATCACCCACGGCGGCCTGTACGACGTTGGTGAGCCACCGCGATGCCGCATGCCTCGACGCAACTTGAAAAGGCTTTCGAGTCGGGCTGGAAATTGGATCGGTGCAGAGTCCTAGTGTGGAGGGGTTCGGTGTTGTGGGCTCCGACTCGGCTCGGACACTCCGAACCTCAATTCTTCAAGGCGTCTATAGGCTCAGAGCCGTGATGCGATGCGCCCAGGCTCAACCGCGGAAACCGCACACATTGCAAGATCGCTTCCGATACGACGGAGCTCGGACTGGTACGAAAACAGAATCACGAATGCCAACCTGTACATCCGGGTGTGACATGTGTGTCTAGGGGAGGGGGTGTTTATGCGCATGTGCTTGTCGGCAAAAGACTGGCCCAAGGTCCCTGGTGCGCAATCAACACGGAATAATACCATGTCCGAAAAGCACATGAAAGGAGGACGCCATTAAGACAATGGCAAGCAACTGGAAGCAGACTCTGAATCCACAGCTGTCACATTTGGATCCTCCAAACTTTTACATCCGAGTTTCATCCACCCTAGCCAAGTATGAACCCGACAAGAGGCAAGACGTCATCCCGCAGATAAGACAGTTGCTCCGCATTCACCTTCAGAGCTGTGAGGCTTCCATGCTTCATTGGACAGCCGGTCCTAATAGCGTATAGTATATGATGCCTCTATATGCCTCTCTCCTGGACGTCTGTCCTATCCGTGCCCACGCACATCGTCTGCCTACCGTAGAGTTGACAGTGTGCAGGAGGAGCCTTTGAATCGCAGAGAGCTAGCAGCCAGCCAAAATGCGCACCTGCGCCTGAAGCGCAGACGTATCCAGGTTGATGCGGATAGGCTGCCATGCAGCCTCCTGCGCGGCATGTGTGCTGAAAGCCACGAGGGCCGGAGGCATTCTCTGAATTCCACAGAAAACAGAAACCGAGTCAGTCAAACTCGAACCAGACCAAACAACAAACGCCCCGGAGTCTAACAAAGACCTGATTGGCCACGACTGTTTTGTGCAATCCTTGACACCCAGTTTTCCTGCAGCCCGGGCTCCTTGAGTCTTCTGCTTCCAAAAGTGTCCGCGAGCACACGCGTGCGGTCAAAATGCAGATACCTGCGGCAGCCAGGTTTGAATGGATGTTCCAGCAGCCTCAGGTCGCCACCACACATCGGTGGGATGCAGGGGCCCGGACTGTTTTTATGAGTGGGGACTGCTGCCGGCCGCGCGTTTGAAACTTGGCTTTAAAAACCGTAGGCATGAGCAAGATGCAGAAACGAGAAGAGATGCCGCCTCGTACTGTCCGGGCCATGCGCCTCTGCAGCGCCCAGCAGCACGCTCAGCAGCAGCGAATCAAAGATACTGCAGGCGCAAGGGGTGCGAGATGAAATCAACCGCAGGAAACATGGAATGCTTGGTTCTTATTCTTTTCACATCTCTAATGCTGAGCCACATTGTAGCGGTCCTGTGATGATTCCTCGCTGACTATGCTTGCACCAACCCTAGGGACTATGGTTCCACTCCTTGTGGCATGAGGATCAGGATAGACGGATAGGCTTCTCGTAAGAGAAGGCACTCGCTGGCAGGAGCGGATCGATTTTCCTTGTTGTTTACACTGTTTATGCCGTCATGTCCCGAAAGTACCACAATGACAGACTGAACCTCCACCCTTCCCACCTGATTCTGCCATTCATCCGCGGACTGTGCTTTGGCACAGGAAGGCGTAAGAATTAGACTCCTAAAGATTTAATATCTTTGTTGCGGCCCTTCCCTGTGCCAAGTGCTAAACTCCCGCTCTGCTGCAAAGGAGCCATGCAAGAGGTTTCGGAGAGACGAAGGTAGGGAACTTGGGTGGGGGTCGAGGGTCGAGGGTTCCATGACAAACAACCTGTTGAGCCAAGAAGTGCGCACCGGTCTGAACCGTCCCACTTCAAAACCGTCGTTTGCAAAAGCAAAAACGCCATGCTTTGCATCTCTTTCCTTGTACTCGCACTGCTGCGCACAGCTGAATGTGGAAGGCAACACGGTATGCCGGTAGCCAGAACTTTCAGGTCTCCCAGTGTTGATGGAGGGACTCGCTTGTTCGGGCTACTAGCGCACCCTACTTCGTGGCCGCTCTTGCTTGTAAGTGGGAGGTGCATGAGGAAACTCAGGGTGCCCTTCAAAGCACTTGATGTCTGCAGCTGGACCACTTGCCATCCCAAACGGCCAATGCAGCCGATTAACAGACATGACATCTCCCACTAGCGCAGCCTCACCAAGCACCTGAAAACTCCGCCGTGATCAGCCTAAACAGTTCCGGTCGACTTGACCAAAGACACGTGTCCAGGGTGGTCATCGACATCGTTGTTACCATGGTGGTCACTAGAAGCCGTAACTCGGCAATGGCGGAGTCAGTGCGGTATCGTCTGCAGGAGTACAGGAACGGAACACTCGAAGTAGTACAAGTATCTTCGTCTTCGTAGTCGCGGCCCTCATGCAAAGAACACATCAATAGCCTAGTACAAGTAGCCGCCTTCCCCCTCGTGATGCAGCGTAAACTGTCTCTACCACGACCTGCACCAGCACCCGCACCTGCACCAGCAGCACTGCCACCACGAGCCATAGCAGCTGTCGTCGTAGAAGCACCAGCAGTGGTAGCATCGCCGGTAGAAGCAATGGCAGTGGCAGTAGCCGTGGTGATAGCAACAGCGGTCCTACCAGTGATCGCGGCGGCGGTGGTAATAGTAGGCAGTCGTCGTCGCGGTCCTGATCTGGTCGTGGCTGGTGGTGGTGATAGTCGTAGTCGGCGTCGTCGTCGTTTCGTGAGTCTTAGCAGCAGCAGCAGCAGCAGCAGTAGCAGCAGCTGGAAGAGGTGGTAGTAGTAGCAGCAGCAGCAGCAGGAGTAGTAGTAGTGGTGGTGGTGGTGGTGGTGGTGGTGGTGGTGGTAGTGATAGTAGTGGTGGTAGTGGTAGTGGTAGTAGTGGTTTTTTGGTAGTAGTAGTTGTAGTAGTAGTAGTAGTAGTAGCAGCAGCAGTGGTGGCGGCAGCAGTGCTAGTAGGTAGTAACACGTCGTCATCCGTCGAGTAACGGCAGGTCGCGGGGGCATCTGTGACAGCAGCGGTAGCGGCAGAGGAGCAGCGGTGTTCGTTTCGTGTGTTGCTGGAACGGGGCACGAAGGTGTAACTCGCAGCAGCTTTTAAAGGAACGGCAGGATTGAAACTGTAATCTTACTTGGGCAATACTGCAAGGGCCAACCTTAGCACGTGAACGATATAGGTTCACAACAAAAGCCCAAATCGCAAGCTGCTAAATCAAGCTAGTCTCAACGCACGGCGCAGCTGTGGATGATAGATTTGAAGGATACTCTGAAGGTCCACGCCAGGTTTAGCGAGCCGCCTGCAATGAATAAACAGAAGCTGAAGCTCCTCCACTTCCTATGCTGCCTGCGTCATCCACTGATGGTCACTGGCTCTTCTTACTGTGCGGCTTCTTTGACCTAAACCTGAAGGTATCCTCAGTAGTGGTGATGGGTGAAAACATCAGATGATGGGCGAAGGCGCTCACAGACTGGCGGTCCTCTCGCGAAGGAATGGGAAGAGAAACGGACAATTCACAGGAACTTCTGACCTCTGAGACCGCAGGTCTGTGGCAAGCTTGCTCTTGAATCTGTTGGGTAGGCGCTAAAGGTGCTTGTAGCTTCGCATCAACATCCAGCAGCTTGAAAGAAGGGATGGTCAGCATGTGGCCCAAACGACCTTCTCTTATCAAGGCAAACACAAACCATACTTGTCAATGTCATTGCCAGCGTGTGCTTTTCCATGACATCGACGCCGGTTCCGTGAACGTGTCGATTTCGCTGCAGGGCCCAATACGATACAGTGACGCTTCAGATCCGGCAGCGATTCAGCATGTTTCCATGTTGTCACCCAGGGCCTCTCTAGGTTCCGCAGGCCCAGCCTAAACCACATTCAAGCCGGCATGAACCGTTCAAGAGAGGTTCCATGAAGTCATGCGAACCATGACGGTCCTCATCCACCACGTCCTCGACCGCCACCTCCTCTGCCCCCACCGCCTTTGTCCTTGCTCTTGCCCTTGACTTTGCCTTTCCCTGGCAAGTCTGACCCATGGCATGCCCGAGTTCTTACGCTGTCTTCAGCGCATGCAATGACCGACGGTGGCCTGCTCACAACTGCGACATGTTATCACCATTATCTAACATGTTGTCGAACCACAATGCCGACCGTAACCTTGCGGATCTCATCAGTAACAGCTCCACAGATTCGAAGCCTTCCACAAGCATCCTTTCGTGAATCGATGATGCCCCGCACTGCCCCGTCAACCCCTGCAGAGTCTGCCGAGCCGCCTTTCCCACCACCTTTACCTTTTCCGCCGCCTGCATCATGCACTGGCTGGGATGTCTAACACTCAGGCGCGAGGAAGAAAGATGACTCCTGAAGTCCAAGTTTGCCGTAATTAGTCCGCAAGAGATGACTCTCTAGATTCCAGCTGCTGAGTCCCAAACGATCATTGGCAGTCCGTTCGTCATACGACTGGTGTGGCAATCCATGCACCCTTGCATACTAATGGCTCGACAGCTGCGGCGCCTTTCTTGCCTTTTCCGCCCTTGCCCTTCCCACCCTTGCCACCCCCGGGGGGTTGCGGCAGGAAGCGGCTGAGCGGCAGAAGCTTCCTTGCATGGTCATTCGAGAGTTGAAGGCTTCGGAAGCGATGGCTATTTCTGCCGCTGTCTGGATGAAGCAGGGGCAATTCCTGACATGCCTGTTTAAACACTCGCAGGGTTAGGCATGCGCATCCACGGGTGTCTACAGGTAGTTACGTTGAAAAGCGAATCATGTGACCAGACTAGGTGGCAGCTCAACCCTAAACACACGAACATGTCGGTTTGTCGCGACCTGTATTCTCCTCAGCTACCCGGAACATGGGGCATTCCGTTCGATAACGACCCCATGCCTGAATATGCGCCCGGCTCTGACTTCCCAGCAGGCTTGATCCGGAACAGCTTACAACAGTCCAAACTCCCAACGTATTACACTGAACCCTCAACTCAACTAGCTGAGCATCATTGTGTCAATGTAAAACTTCTTGCCCGTCTTGAAGGAGCCGGCCTGCATGCCCTCCTTGAGCGAGTTGCTGAAACCACCCTTTGGGTACATGTCCGGGTTTCAGTTGCCTTTTGCCATGACTTATCTCTGGTAAGATCATACAAGGTGTCATGTCCCAATACAGTACCAAATTGCTAAACTTAGTGGCCACTGCAGGCTACCGTGAGTGACACATCTTCACACATCTTAACTGCTACATAATAAAGTATTGCCGATAACTAGCTGACCGCAATCAGGTTTCTGGTGTGCTAGATGATCCGATCTGACGGTACGCAAAACATCACTAATGCTAGGGCTCAGGCTTGAGTGAGCATTAGGTATTTCGCGATTGTTCTATCCGCTACTGCACGTGTATTTGCTGTAGCTGTGTGCGTACAAACACACAATCTGCTCAACATGCGCATCGTAGACAACCTGGTTCAGTACTACATGTGTGTCTGTCCCGCGACCCTGAGACCGATCTTCACTGTCAGCGACCTGCAACGTCGTTGCAGTTGTGCAACTGAGGCTTGCAAAATTCAGAAATCTCCCAAGCCCCCAGACTCCAGTCTGGTGCACCTTCGGTAAGTGTGATGTTACATCGCCGCAGTCTCGCCAGTGCTTCTTTTTTACAAGTGTTGGTCTGGAGCCGTGGAGGTGTGCAGAGGGCCAGAGCATTAAGCGGCCAGGTTGCCCCAAGCTTCACGGAGAAGTAAAAAGCATTGATGGGTCCGAAAACATCCTCGGATGGTGACCGGCTCATTTGCCAAGTAATTGCCGAGCCAGAGACGGTAAATATTCGTAGGCCGTACATCTGATCTAGATCGCTCTCTCTCTCTCTCTCTCTGTCCGTCCGTCCGTCTGCCTCCCTCTTTCTTCCATCCATTCTCTCTTGCTTGCTTGCTGCCGAAAGGTGCCGAAGCACCCCCCGAAGGGGCTCAGGTCGTCCGGCGTCCAGCGTGAGAAGACTGGGTCAACACCGCTAGGCCCTCAAGGCCCCGGCGATAACGCACTAGATGCACACTGAATGGGAGCGGAATGCATGAGCTGCAGCTAGAACTGCGCCATTAGAACGTTGCGACTTAGCCTTACAAGGCCGAACCTAGCCCCTCAAAAGGCGGACCGGCTTCGGGTTTCGAGTTCAGGGATTCTCGGGGTGAAGGCCTCTGTTTACTTCACTTCACTTCGGGGCGTGGGAGTCTTGTCTGAAGGCCTCTGTCTCTGCCTCTCTCTGCATAAGTTTCGCCGGGGAGCATCCACCTTGCCAATTTCCTCCTTGTTCTCGAGGAAAAGTCGCGCATTGAAGTGCGGGACCCTCTCATTTGTACACTTGCAGACCTCGCAGCTGTAGTGCCCAGCTGATGCCAAAGCGATGGTAGATCTAGGGCACAAGATCACAGTCAAACCTGTTACGTCGGTGCTGTCTGCAGGAAAGACAATCAGCCTGCCGCAGTGGCTTTGAATGAGTCATGAACGCTATGCTGGGACCCTAGGAGGTGGGCTTCTCAGCCCACAGGCCACCTACTGAAAACCACCACTTCCGAGCTTCGTACCAGCTGGTCTTCGCACGGGTGCACGGCCTCCCCGATCCTGAGGGCTCAGCTTTAAAATCCCTTCGAGTCTGCGCACGTCGACTGAGCGACGCAGCCGGGGACTTCAGGACAACTCCGGTCATGGAACGAACCGAAGCAGAACTCCACAGTGCGGACGGCTGACACTCAAGGATTGGAGCGTCCCATATAGTCTCTTAGGTCTTGGCAAGGCAGGTAGAACTGGCCAAAGTCTCCGAAGCTGCCCTAAGCCCTACGCCTCATACATCTGCAAATGCGAGGTCAAAATCGCTTTTGCTTTGCTGCTGCTGTTGACACATCTGGCCAGAGCAGCGGGTCTCGGACGTTGGCTTCTGATGGAATTTTGTCATAGACTGCCGCAGCAGCTGAAGCCCAAATCCTTCTAGGAGCTACTTCGCGGAGGTTGCTTCGGCTGCCCAGGCCGGATAACTCCAAGGAACAGCCAAGAGTCTCCTCGATTTCGTCGGGGGGGCCTTCGGGCTCAAAGGACCTCGATACATCAATGCAGGAACAGCACGCATTAGCAAACCGAAAGTCCGTCAGCTTGGTCTGTTGTTTCGGAGATGCCAGAACTCGAACTCAATTGAGATGAAGGAGCTGCTTCCCCTTGCCTTTCTTGCCTTTGCCCTTGCCACCTGCAGGTCGTGTGCAAGGAAACCGGTGCTTTGCGAGTTCAGGACTAGTATAGCCACATTGCCAGCTTGCACGACCCGCTGCGTGCGAGATCTAACAGTTAGTAAGTTGTACCTTCTTGACATTGTCACATTGGCGTCAGGACAAAGATCCTTCTTGGGTTCTTCAGGCTCTCAACACCTCAAGACCGAGTGAGACATGAAATCTGATGGGGCGGGCACGCCGTGCTATGCCGAACACTGGAGCGTATCTTACGGCTGTGGGGCTTGCTACGTGTTCCTGCGACAAGGCCCAAGATCTCAACTTCTCAGATCGCCGAAACACAGCGTAGCCCCAATTGGGTTGCACGACGTACTCGGAGGCTTTCCCGAAACGCCTGAACTTGAAGAGCCCGGCCTTTGCCCATGAAATCGGATCAACGGCGCAGGGCGCAGGCCTGCCGAAAAAGCATCGACGGCAAAAAGCAGCGCTTTAGAGTTAGAGGTATCAACCGGACACAGCCTAGCACTCCAATACGACGTTCCGATAGACTTGGCATCAGTTGCTGAAACACTGAAACACGCAGTTCGTGATGCTGGCATCTCCGTGGCCTCAAACGTGGGCCCGTCTTAGCCCGCGCTGGACACCTAATCCTCTCTGAGCCAGCATGGCTGCGCGTTCCACCGGGGCGTCCGCCCGCATAGATGCAACTCAATCTAGAATCTAGACGAAAAGCACCTAAATCCACAGCAGATCGGAGTATCAGCGCTCGGCAAACCAAAGCTCGACTACGGCCGGGGATGCTTCAACGATAATTAGAAAGCCGCATGGAAACCCGAAAGCTCGATTCCCGGAGCCCAGCCCTCCAGAAGCTAAGCTGAAACAAAGCCGACGGAGCCGCACTGGGCACCCGGCCATCCAAAGGAATGTGATGGGGCTCACTACCTTCAAAGATGCCCGCTGCTTCGGATCTTCACGAAAAGAGCCCCGCAAAACCCGCGAAGCAACGGTGGTGTTGGTGTTGGTGTTGGCAGTGGGTGCAGCAGCAGGCTTTAAGTCAGACAGAGACAGAACAACCAGGGGGTCGAAGCAAAATGAAGAAGCATACCCCGGACGCCACCCTCAAACCTTGATGTCAACTCCAGACAGTCATCTACCGGAGCCAAAGTTTATGTTCGAGGCCTCCCTGCCCAACTCGTCGAACTGAAATGCCACAGTCTGTCCAAAAACCGCCCCCGACTTCTTCGCTCTGTACCTGCCAGCAGCGCACCGGCACTCCAGAGCCTTGGCTGCAAATATGGAGCGGCACAGGCCGCAGACGTTGCTGCTGCGGCAACTGAAAACTGCGTTTTGGCTGGGTCATCTCTGGACCGGGATTTACTGTTGAGGCACTTGAGACTACCCATAGCTCGCTGTGACCTGGTCGGTCAAGCCATGTGAACCCTTTGAATTTTGGGCAGCTGCACCCCGATCAGCTGGTTCTGGTTTTCGGCGTGAGCAACGTCTCATGTCTCATGGTCCCTCTCGCACGATATTCAGCAGTCATCAGTTAGCCATGGCCCTCAGGTCCCCATGCATCTGATGGAACCACCGAAAATAACTCAAGGTCCAAATAGGAGCCCTGGGGTAAACCTGGCCTGCGTTACAAAACTGCCAGATGCCCAGCTCAGAAACTCTAGGGTCCTCGATCCCCGCAAAATCGGCAGCACCACAAGCTGCAAAGCTACCACTTAGAGTTTGGCACGCCCAGCACGTAGTAGTAGCAGTGGATAAAACGTAAACCACAATGCATCCTGATACGCCTCAACTTACATATTTCCCGACAGTAGTTGACAAGCACAATAAGTCTTTTAACGTAAGCTACGTAAACATGGACTGATGCGCAGTAGGAGCGATCGGCGCACGTCCTCAGAAAATGACATAAAACACACACACACACACACACACACACACGATCACACACACACACGCACACACACGCACACACACATGGTCGGCAGGTCACCTGAGGCCGCTCTTGCCGGGTGCTAGTAGCGCCAGGCGTTCCAGTCCGGTGTGGCCTCTGCCTCCACAGAACATACCCGTTGGGTCAAGGACATCAAGAAGCGCAACCCTTCAAAGCATCCATTTGCTCGCGAACTGTGGCCTTCTCCCGTGCTGAGCCACGTCGCCCCCTGTGGCCACCGCACAGCAGCAAGAAACTCGAACTGGACAGGCACCTTTTCGGAGGATCAAGGCTCGGCCCCTTCGCACGCCGCAAGACTGTCGTAGATCTGATCTAATGCGGATTCCGTTCTGAAAGGGGCTGGGGTCACGACTTCAGTAGCAGTAGCACTTACTCACCAACTCTCAACGAAAAACAAGTCGCTCCGAAATCCCGATCTGAAACCAACGCCAAGTCTCTGCCTCAGCTTGCGGGAGGTGACTCCCCAGGTACAGAGATGTAGGGCTCGCGAGCAGCAGAGGCTCCACGGATGAAGCCGGGCAGTGGAGCATGGCCTTAGCTTAGGAGGTCTTATTTCATGCGCCTCTGCGGCAATACGCAAACAAGACGAAATTTGTGAGGGCTTCGGCCAGCAAGCCACCTAACGAAGCCGCAACATGGTTTTGCCGAAAGGGCAGAAGGTCCCCAGAAGGTTAGCAATGATTCGAACTCTGTCGCTGTGTATTCGGCTTGCCTCGTCCGCAGTGGTATGGGGCATGCTCAGCTGCGAACGCTGCTGCAAACACAAGACAGCAAACACGGACCACTGTCAGAAGCCAAGTTCGTTGCCCCACACCCTGAAGCCCGAGCCCAATGCCATGTGAGACATCCGTGCCTGATGCATTGACATTTTTGTTGCCGCACACCGAACGGAATGCCAAAAAAAATCCAACAAGAAGATGCGGCATCTTGTGAGATGCCTGCCGCTAGGCAGTCCAGAAGTATGAATCGAAGCCGGAGGCGCCGGAAGAAAGAGAGTGCCATTGGGCCAGTCCAAACGCACCTCCTAGCAGTTCGACAGTTCGGCCCTCTCTACGGAGGAGGGTGCCTACCCCTCAAGTAAGAGCTCCTCCAGCGCCAGCTCTGCAGCAAGGGCCCGAGCACTGCCCTGCTGGAAGTCCACCTCAAGGCTGTTATGTTTGTTATACTATATGTTATATTCTATTCTATTTCATTATGTTATATTATACTATATTATATTATATTCTATCCGGAAGAGGACGCAAAAACCACAGACCGCAAAAGGAGAACGCACTCTCCGCCTGAACCAGGCCAAGCTCCTTCAGGAGGACCATCACGCCGCACCTCGGTGGACAGCTTCACCGGATTCTGGCTGATGCACAAACGTCACAGACGGATGGGGAAACAACTACGACCAGACAGGGGCTTGAGGCAGAGCGCTTGATGCATGCACCGCCGAAAAGCAGCTCTATCGACAAAGAGTTTTGGTAGAGAGGTCGACGGGCAGGTACGGATAGATAGAATCCTCGATGAGGCAAGTCGGCGACCATGAAGGAACTCAGACAAGTAGGAACACGTGCCGACGTTTACACTGCTGAGGAATACTTGATCTCTTGGGCCTTCACACGCCTTAACTACTGACTTCAGCATGGCACATGGCCCAGGTGAGTTGGCAAACTCGCGTCATCCGGCAGAGTATCTGCCAAGGCAGCCGTTCGGGAACGAAATCCTGACAGTCAGATTTGAAGACAGGCTCGCTGCGGTGCTGGGGGGAAGATTGGGGAAAACAAGCCACAAGCGCACGCCGGCTGGACTCGGACTCCATATCTGCTACTGTTGATGTTCCTGTGAAGCCTATCTGCACCAGCTACAGCTCACGAGTTCGACCTCTGCGGGTTCTACAACTTGGACGATTATGGACGTCATCGTAACGGCCTCATGTAATGGCAGCAAATGTGACACAGGCTCTGTAGAGCGATAGCAACAGAAGCTTCCAGCATCAGAGCTCCTGATCCGACTTTATGTTGCCAACTGAGGACCAAATTATCAAGAGATACTGCTTCTCACAGCAGCCTTGCCATCAATGTTCGCTAACATAATGAGTGAGTAGAGTATTGTCCAGAGCCTTGCTGGACCCGGCAACTGCTCGACATTCTCGGAACCCTAAAGCATTCTTGTCTCAGCTGTAACCCAGACTTCCAGCGCCCTCTCTGACTGCCAGTCCCTTGCGTGCTTCCCGGCCATCGCTCGCAGAGTGCGGTCCTCGCCGGGCTTCGCAGAGAAAAGCAAAAAGCAAAGCGGGAAAGTCTTTCAAAAAGCAAAGCAGTTAAGAGCATAGAAAACCACATGTTTTCGTGTTAACGCATGGTCTCACGCAACGTACGTCTACTGTCTTCCTAGCGCTGATCGACTCACCAAAAGCGGGGAATACTATCCTTGATCGCTAGTGCGCTTTCGAGTTTCATCTAAACACAGGCACCGCCCAACAGCAACCTTTCCCGGCGGAAATCCCTCCCGAGCGGGACTTGAACTCGACTACCTGACACTGTCGTCTAAAGTGGCATATGAAGCAGGATAACTCCGAAACCCCTTGTGCAGCTTAGAACTGCCCCACTCTGGGGGATCTGTTTCATGCTCTCGTGGGCTGATATTGTTGCGGTCCCCACTCTCCACCACGAAGGCACTCTGTGGAGGAGTTTCGCCAACGCTTGCATCATTGTCGTTGCCGCCTGGCACCCGGCCGAGCTGGTATAGAAAAAATGACCACATGAAGTCGCAGTGCAGAGATGTGCACAGTGTCTTGAAGGCTTTCAGGAACATCACGACCTACGGCGAAGTGCTTCTTTCAGGCTCCACTGCCACAACAATCAGGATAAGACATTCGCAAATATTCGCAGAAGAAGGGTGCAGGATGCATTACAGAGAATGACTATCCCGACGAATGCCCAAACTGAGTATCGGATATTGGCCTCCAGGGCTGAGGGCCTCTTCGCTTGAGGAGTTTGGGATCGGCGACCAGCTCTCGCCGTGCTTCGCCGGTCGCTTCCTGGGCCGTGATGGCAATCCCGACGCCTCCGCAGTGCTAACGCTCTTTCTGGCAACCCTCTTTGCTCCAAGAAGCTGGTTGAAAAGCCCCACGAGATTCTTCCCAAAGCGTTTCGAGCGGTCCTGCGAAGCGTGGCACGGCACTCGTCTGACCCTCTCGCTTTCTACCACGCGCGGTGTCTGAGTATTTCGGTGGCCAGGTTTCAACTCCTAAACGGAGCAGGCCCGCTCCTTCAAACGTCGACCTCTCGGACGAGATGGTTGTGACCGTTGTGACCGGAGACGAGCTCGGACCTGATTGCACGGAACCCCGGCCTTACAAATTACAATCTACGATTCGAGCAGGCCGACAATCACGACACAAACTGCCAGCTCTGGGTTACGGGGAAGCCACCGTTTGCACATCTTGTGCAATTTTTCAAGGTTGGCCGCACAGCTGACATGGAGGCCAAGGCACATTGAACACCAGCATGTTTCCATGTCGCCCCACCCAAACAGCATTGGGACTCGCTTCCAACACTCGGATCGACTGTTCGGGTCAACGTTCAAAACATACCAGTCTAGTAACCCGGTCATTTGGTTTTGGATGCACAAGTGGAATGTGCATCCTCTATGTCCGTGTGCATTGTGATTGGAACCTGGCACCTGCCAGAATCTGCTACCAAGAACTATTGGAGAACGATTTAAACCCACTAGCCGGACTCGCAAAATCTGGGCCCGTGGCATGCTGGTTGGTTTTGGCAACAGATAGGTCGCGGAGGATTCGCAGCTCCATGAGGCTTTCAACCTGGCCCACCCCGATCTGGGCAGCTCTGCTTTCCAGTGGAAGGCATTGTATTCCACGTGGGTCTTGGGCCTTTGCTACGAGATGGCAAACCATGTCGGGAGCGTCAGCAAATCGATTTGCTGCTGACCAGCAAAGCAAAGCTCCCGAACTCCTCAAGGTTCAGCCTGCGTCTCCACATCCTTCAGAATCTGGGCCACGGCCGGCAAGGAGAGAACCTGAACTGCTGCAGGACAGCAGCCAAACCCTAAACACCAGCAAAATTAAACACTGAAAGCTAGCCTCAAAAGCCCGCAACCCGGAGAACCCTGGATAAAGGAGGCCCCGCGTCCACATGACTACTTGAAAGAACCCTGCCTCTCGACACCGTTCCGATTCGAACACGACATAGCTAAGCAGGTATCCTCCGAGTAGCTTCCGTCCTATCTGTTGATATGCTTTTGAGCGCACACGTGTTTGCCACCTAGATCGTGCTCTACTGCAGGGAGCACGTCGCGGAAGATCCGTGCGCACCAGAGCCTGGAAACAGCCACACTTGAAGAGCTTCATCGGCGTGGCATGGCCACGCAGGCCAACCAATAGCGCACATTTCAGATGGGAGACGGACGCGTACGGACGCTCGCTGAAGAGTTCGGTTGATTGAGAATGTATGGCGTCGTGGCTGATAGACTCTTGCAACAACCTTCGCCGAGCAAGGATCATGAACCCGTGGACGACGGGTACATCAGTATGGTTTCGCCCGCAAACTATCGTCGAGCACCCGCAAAGTCAAGAGGAGAGAACAAGAATCAGCAGCAATCCTGAACATGATCACAAGACATGCGCCTGCGTAGCGATAACTGTCCCCGTGGACCAGAGAGGGTTCCTACACTGAACTTCTGTGAACTCGCTTCGGCACAGCAGCCAGGGAGCAAGCACAAGCACCTTAGCGAAGCTGCCGAGGCCCTGAGACCTGAAGACCGAGAAAACGATCCTTGAACCCTCGACCTGATCCTGAACAGAGGCCAGCAGCAAGGAGACCGAGAGAGTTCTCGCTGAACTGGGTCCTCTCGTTCCTTGGCTCAAGATCAACTCGACCTGAAAAACACTCGAGCAATAGCAGAACCCCAAAACAGCGGTAGATGTCTAAAGTTCGGTGTTTTTTGTTGGAAGCCCACTATGGTTTTGCAAGCGCCCCCGCTCGGACGCACTATGCATCTCAAAACGCAATGACTCACAAGGTTGATTATCCACATGTCTTTTTGCTGGCAAGGAGTTTCCTGCAGTTGGTGTAGAGGGGAGATTCGAGGCCAAGTCTTGGGACTACATCGTATCCGCGTGGTGGCAAGCTGCTCGAGGTCGTAGTAGTAGCACGCCATCTGGCCTCTGAGGAAACTGGCGCAGCAAGATCTATTCTTCCCCACCTGAACTTGTTCAATCGCCTCTCGAAAACTGGGGCAGGAGGTTCCGCATACTCATCCATAAGGCCTTCTCCTTCCTATGCGTTCAGCCTCCGAAACCGCAAGACTCTTTGACCTGAACCCTGCTATCTGCGCGCCAAGCACAAGAAGAATGAATCAGAATGAAGCATCATCCTAATCATAATCACCATCGACATCATCATCGGAATCCAGGTGCTCCTGGTCATCACGAGTAAATTGAGAGCATAGCGACAGCTAGAATCTATAATGGCAGTCACACCGCGACTCATAAAATCAATGAGTAGACTACAGCACAGACTCTGTAACGATATATGGGAAGGGCGATCACTACGTGCTGATAGCCTCAAGGCTGATGCGAAGAGTACTGTGACACCACCGCAGAATTTCGATGCAGCGGCAGCCATAAGCAGCAAGAACAGCCGCAACAACGAGCAAAGGAGAGCTCACAAGAACAAGAAGAATCGAAGCCGGAAGCAGTGACCGTGAACCAATGCGCAACTTCACAATGTAAAGGGTAATCTTGTTGCATTTACTCGACTGGGTACAAGTAGTAGCTTGCAAGAAGAAAATGAAAACATGCCTTCCTTCAGACAGTATGATCCACAAAGCAGCTTCTTACCTGTCTTAGCTCTGAACATCTTCCACCATCAGGGCCAACATGAGAAACCGCAGTCGTAATCATCAGCTGAGGCGCCATGGCCAACATCATGCTCGAAGGGGCCCAGCAAGCCTTGCTTCGTGCAGAGCTGGGGTAGGTGGCAAAACAAAATGACAATAGTCCCTGCTGTGCTCAAGCCTGACATAGTGAGTTCAGCTACTGCTACTGTTGCTCTACAACTACTACTGCTACTACTGCTACTGCTACGACTACTACTACTACTACTACTACTAAGTTTACTACTACGACTACGACGACGACTACTACAACTACTACAAATACTACCACTACCATTACCACTACTACTATTACTACTAGTACTACTACTACCAC